CTTTCAGCAGAATTTTGCAGAGCTGGAAGAGATGCCCTGGTTCAGAGCTATAGAAGAATTCAGTGATGCAGAAAATGTATCTGAATCAAAAAGGGATGATGATCATGATAAAGAAGTTTTGCCTAGAGTGATTGAAAAAACTATTCTTCCCAAAATTGCAGGTATGACAAGATTGTATTGAAAATATTCACTGCAGCTACACAATAAAACCTTAAATAAAAACGATAATATCAAATAATGTTGGTAATATCACATAAGAGGCAATGATTATGTAGTTCCACAGAGTTGAGGGTATGGTGGCCTCTTCAAAATTATTGCGAGAGGCTGAGCTTTTTATATGTTTACTCCTGTTATATTGTAATGGCTTGAAACTCGGACTGATAAGTACATGCATATTATGAGTGAAATAAATTACTATTTATTTCAGGATTTGTGAAGAATGTGTGGGATCCTTTATCTACTTCACAGACAAAGAACCTTGTACACCTTTGCAATAACATCTTTGGAAAACAAATCCTTTCCAAAAATGAGCCCAGCCGAGCAAGAGAGGTAAAAGCTGTGGTACAGAGAAAGGGGAACTTCACCCACCGTGTGTACTTTTGTGTGTGCTCCTATGGGCACTGAGAACTTCTCCTGAAGTTGTTTGGTTCTGATTACATTTTTGTTTTGTCTCTTTATATTAAGGGGATTTAACAGTTAAACTTCCAGATCTCTGATTCTCACCTTGTTGAAGATGATGATGCAGAAATTAACAACTGTTCATAGAAAAATTCTGCCTATTCTGTATCTGTCCAGAATCTGTTTGTGGATCTCATCTTCCTTAACTGCAATAACAATAATTTACATTTAATTAGATTTCCAAATTTGAGCTTTAAATGCTGGCAGTGCTTCAGTAGTCCATTCCTTAAGCTTTTATTTATGAAGTAGGCCTAGAATTTTAAAACTTGAGAATCCCCAGGGGTTTGTTAATTGGTGAGGAGAAAAAAATACTACGTAATCCTAGCAATCCTTTAAGAATTACTTTTATATTCACTCTAGGAAGTCCTTCTTAGCCTGATTCTGGGTTTTTTCTGATGTAAATCAGGAGGTTTATCTTTATCTAGTGAAAATCAGATGGATTAAGTGGTGAAATGGGATAGATGTCTGGGCCCAGAGTATAAAAAGAAATATTTTATAGAAAATATTTGCCTTCCAAAGTTTGCTGTTTTGAAACCATGGCTTAAAGTCAAGTGATAAACTTATCTTAGCAAGAACTTTAAATAAATAAATAGGATTAAGAAAAAGGTAGGTGGCAATCTATGGTACCTGAAAACATGTTCCTCAAAAATGCATACTGTCCTAGAGCTTAGGGATATAGCAAAACCCTCTAGGCTAAGCCTATAGATAATTACAGCTGTGATTTGTCTGCTGTTTCTATTTTTTATTCAGGGTCTCAATGTGTGTTACATACAAATGGCAGCTGCACTTATCTCTTAAGATATCAGACCTCTTGATGAACTAAATAACCTTTGAGATTGTTACAAATGGAATATGAAGTCTTTCTTCTGAGGACACATTAATAATTCCTTTTTAATAGGATTTGATGAACACAGTTGTCCTAAGAATGAAGAAATCTGTAGAGGAAGATGTCTTTATTCCTCTGTATCCCAAAAGGTAAGCTAGCCCTGTGAGTCTCTTAAGTTGCTATTTTTTTAAGTTCCTCTGCTTTTCTCCCCTACAGATGTAAATGAAATATTGTAGACATCCATGTCTGAGAGATCAGATGTCTGTTTATTTTCTTTTAAATCTAACAAAAAATAACCTTTATTTTAACTTTTTCTTCCCATGATCAGCACTGTGGAAGACAAGTCATCACTACGTTCAAAATTTCGAGAAAGACGGTTCTGGTCAGCTGTTAAGGTAGAGCAAATAGGGCTGGTTCTGTTCTCTTTGTCCTCTCTGAAATTCATTTCATTGGAAACATTAACATCCCAGCCAATATTCCAGTTTTTCTGCTGTTCATGTTAGCTGTCTTCCTCCTTGACTCAGAGCTGGTTAATTCTCAGGTAACATAACTTCAAGGTATTATACTTACACAAACGCAGCCTTACACAAGGATCAAAAAGGACAGTTGTAAGGATTTATAGTGATAGAGACAACAGAAAAAACCCTCAGTGCCTAATACTGACATGAACTACAAGAAGATCTTTGTGATACCACAAACTGTGTCATCATCATAACTTTTCACTTCTGTCTTTGATTCTCTTAAAGTTTGCTTAGTTGCCTTCTGTATTTAGCAAATTGTTAAACCTCCTAGAAGGGTAAAATGTTCCACCCTTGGGAGGTCATATATACACATATACAGGTGTATATAGATAGCTATACATACACATAGATGTACTTGTAAGATTAATTAGGTTATTTACTCTATGCAGTTTATTAGTGGCTAACTGACCAGAAGTTTGGAGAGTGTAAATCCTAGAGTTTGAGGGCTTGAATTGGATGCACATAGTACCTTTCTGTGATTTTTCTTTTATGAAACTTGTAACAGTTTTAGCAGTACTTCTAGCTAGCAGCTCTACAGATTCTTTGTTTCTTCTTTACTGCAGCTGCTTTCCAATGTTGTTCTTTGGGATGGGATTGTCCAGGAAGACAAGGTCCGTGATTTGGGACTGAGCAAGTTGCTGAATCGTTACCTTCTCCTGAACATCCTAAACACACCGCTAGGGCCGGATAATATAGAAAAGTGTAATAAGGTAACAGATAACATTCTTTGGAAAAGCATGTATGCTAAAAGCCTTTTTTTCATGAAGAGGGGTAAACACTAAAGGTGGAATATTTAAAAAAAAATTTAAACATTTAAAATTTGATTTTAATTTTTTTCTTTTAATAACCTTGCTGCATAAGAGCATTTTAAAGCAAGTACTGGTCTGTAGTTTCCTTAAGCATAACTACTTGGAGAGATAATCAATGTTGTTTTGAAGGAAAAAGCGCACTAGTAATGACTGAACCTGCCAGAAGGTTGCTGTCAGAAATTATGTGACTTGGTTATATTGAAATACTCATTAAGCTTTTTACAAATATTGTGTGAACAGGTGGTTGCATGCCTCCCAGAAAGATGGTTCCAGGATCTCAAAGGTGGATCAACTCTCCCTGAATTACTGAACTTCAGCCAGCACTTGCTGCAATGCGCCCGTGCGCTACACAAGGACAACCACAGGTAATGGATGAGGCTGTCTTTGGGATTCAAGTGCTTCCCCCTGTACTTAGTGTTAAATTCTTTTTTAATTCCTTAAATACCATATATTTGGCACTTTTAAATATGCTCATGTCATGTGTATCTATCTATATATCTATATATATATCTAAAAGAGAAGATGGAGTCTAATGTGAAGGAGCACTTTAGCAGTCCTTGTTTCCTGTGAGAGTTTGAGGTGGTTGACGTTGGGTGCTGTTAATAATTAGAGTAGCCAAGCTCATGAAATAAAAATGATACTTTAGACAGGTTCATAAAAGTGCTGCTATATATTTTTCTTTTTTTTTTTTTTATTCTTAAATAGCGATGAAACAAAAGAAGTTCTTCTTCTGCTGGTGAAAATTGGAGCTCTGCATATTGTAGAAGACTTCATTGAAGAGCATAAACTTGAACACCTTAAAGCAGTAATTGGGAAATAGAAATCTTTGCAGGAATGCATACATTACTGAAACAAGCCTGGTATTCACACTAAACCAATTCTAATATGAAATTTAATTAGTGGATCCTACCTACTCAGAGGTTGTGTTAATCACTATCTTGCTGTTAAATACGTGAGGTGATTTTTCTAAATGCCTTTTGCTGCCATCTACTCCTAGATTAGGGAATATTTAGAAGTTGCAGTTGTCAAAGCAATGGTTCAGGCATTCTAAAATGTGTGACAGTGCTTTACTGCTGTATCCTTCTTGGAAGGAATCCTGGAGAGAAAGTGCCTGTGAACTTCATCACTGCTGCCAGTAGACAACTTGACAAGTTATTTTCAGTATTAACTGCTAAATAGCATTCTGACTCAGCAGTCACTGAGCTCTTGTGACTTGAGGTCCACAGTGATTTTTGGCAGGGTTATTGCTAAACCATTTCTAGTGAAAAGGAATTCATGATGCCCCTGATGCAGAAACAAGGGGGGTCAGTGTAGGTAAGGAATCAGGATTTTGATCACAGACATTGTGATGATGAGAAGAACAGAACTTCAGTTGCTTTCTAGTAACTGGAGTTCTAGAAATCTCCTTTTGCTTCCCAGTAAGCGCTACAGAACTTTTACTTCTTCATATCCTTATTAAGATATTATATGATTTCTAATGTTTTATAATTTTGTATATTTGCAGTAAATATTGTTACAGAATAACAAGGACGTTTCATTGTAAAAACTGTAGTGCACCACAGAATCTGTATGTTTGTGACTATTTCTCCAAAATCTTCTGGGAATAGAATTTAACTCTTCTTGACTTCATTCTTATGCCTTCTTTTTTATATTTTTTAAGTTAAAAATATATTTTTGTAAAATACTTCAACTGTAAATAGGTTTGATCAGTATGACAGACAAAAGATTAAAAATAATTCGTTTTTTTTTAAATAAAATATTTTACTATGGTAATGACTCTACCAGTTCAGTTCTTTAACATGTGACAAAAATATTAAGAAAGATCTATGGAAAAAAATCCCTCCAGCTCCAGTAACACTCAGTAGCTTCAGGCCTTATGTTACAAATGCTGCTTTCTAACAACCAGTTTTTGCTGGTTTTCCCTCAGAATGCCAACAAAAATGCAACTGCTGATCAGCAATCACCACAAGCCCATGATCTCATTACTTTTCTCTTGTTCTGCTTTGTCTCAACCCAGCTTGTCTCTAGCACCAGCCTTGTGTTATGACAAAAATGTATGATAGAATATCAATTAATTTAGCTCTTTAGATGTTTGTTTCTGGAAGAAAGATTCCTTGTAATGACTTGGAAGCATCAGGAGGGCAGTGGACACTTGAACCACAGAAATCTGTTCATGCCAAAATCTGGAAAGGTTAACTTTATTTTTGCTTTGTCCATGTATATACAAAACTTGACAATTGATCATCCATACTGTTGTAAACTAAAAATACTAATTTTCTCAGGAATTCTAGACTGCAGAAAACATTATTATTTTTCAAGTTCTTCACTCAGTTCCTTTCGAATCTTTTCCTCTATTTTTGAAGTATCATATTCTCTCAGCATGTCAAACTCCAGCCATGGCTGGCTCCACTTCTGTGCTGCTTTCATTTTATGTTCTGGTAGCTCAAACTTGATTCCTTTTATATTGTATTTGGGTCTTTCCCACCGTTTTGACCACGGTTTAGGCTTCATTCGTACCTGCAGCTAGAGTGAAAGATTAAAAAATTTAAAAAACCCCAAAACAATAAAAGGGTATTAAGGAATTACATTTTTTGATTGTGATCTTAGTAAAAGGTGACAACTGCTGGTCTAACAGGAGGAAAGTAAGACAAAACTAACCAATCTGTCAGTGTGTTTAGTAATTACTACTTTCTGATTGTTATCATAATACCTTGTAAAACTTTTTAATTAACACTGTCTCAATTTATTGCAGAGTCCTTAATCGAAACATAAATTGAAGCTAACTCATCTTTTGTAGTTTTGCTCCTTATTAAAAAAAACCAAAAGTAGCATGAGAGGGAAAGGGATGAATTATCATACTGAGCTTCTACCCAATGCTCTGGCAGGGTGTGATGGTTTCTGGATCTTCCCTGAGATACAGATTTTAGTTGATTCTTCCATCTTTCTTACCTTGTTTCTTGACACCAACCACTCCTGAATCAGTTACCACATTAACAATAACTTTCCTATAAGAAAAGCATTACCCTCTGCACAGTTCTACAGAGGAATGTGGAGGCTGCTCCTCTTTGTGTGTCTTCAAAATTAACTCCAGAGGATGGTAGGTGTTTACATTCTCATCATTCTTTCATTATAGAAATGGCACAAAAACTTGCCTGATTTTACCTACTTTTGTCACCCTGGTAACTGATGTAGCAAAGATCTGCTACAGTCTGCCAGGATAACAGTCATAAATGGAAGTTGTAAATAATCCCGTGCTTTCCTCTGAAAGACAAGGTTCCTACCTTGTTCACAGGAATTTCCTCGTGGGCCATACGAGACACAGGTTTCATATTGACATCGAAAGTGCTGTACTCGGGGAGGGCATCTCGCAGGTACATCAGGTTCTCATCCAGCCTCTTCTCCAGCTTCAGCACCTCGATCGCCTGGATTCGAGGACTGTACAGTTCATAACAGATTTCAACCCCTTAGAGACAGAAAGCCTGGTTTAGTGAACCAAGTTCAGGAGAAATATGAACACCCAAGCAGCATTGCTTCAGTTCTACATTCCTGTATACATTCCTACCTTTTAGTCTTCAGAGCACTACAGTGCTGTGTTGACTTGTGATTACACTCATGTACTGTCTCTGCCATTTCTTTGTAAATCAAATCTTTGATACAGAGGGGCTTGAGAGACTTGAATGGCTTGAATGGCTTGAATTCAAGGAAGATGAGCTTGGGTTTTAAACTTTATTTCCATTTGGTTACAATGGCTGTTTGTACATCTCAGTGTAGGTGAGACACCCACCCCTTTCATATTTGCATTCAGAACTCCACTATTTGCACTGCCCCTGATTTTGTCATAATCCAGAATATGAATGTGTGATAAAACTCTTCTAATCTGCTGCTTGTTAAAACAGTTCACACCTACATCCCTAGTTCATGAAAACACACGTTTTATAATACCAATTATAATATATATATACCAACTGGGCTGGTATTTTCATGGCAAGAGACAGCCCAGGCTCTGACATAAGTACAACTGTCACAGATTATCTAAAAATTACTGTGCAGTTCTATGCCTTCAAGTACAGAGCACATCAACATTTCTGTGTACACAGCTTTAAACTTGCACAGTTTAACAGTCTAACAGGCAGACACATACTTTCACTTCAATCTGCTGTTTTCCTCCCCACAGCCTAAATTTCTACAACATAACACATTTTCTACTGAACACTTGCAGCATAATTACCACAGCTGAAACCCCACCTTGGTCTTCTATGACATTCCGAAGGACAAAGGTAGCGCCGAGTCCTTTCCCACCCCTCTGAATGCAGATCCCAACAAACCGGTTGGATTTGTCACTGGCATAGGGATTCGCAGTCGTCACAGCAAGTACACTGCCTGCCAAAAAAAAAATGGATTGAAATAAACAGCCTGTCCCAGTTAATATGTACCAAAATGTGGGAAGAGTCAGGCAAAGTGCATCTATTCAGGTGCATTTTGAAAATACTTTTGCTCTCCATCAAAACTGCCAGAAACAGAAAATACTGCTAACATGACCTGAATTAATGTAGGTTGAAGTGATACTGCAGGTTAACTGCAAATTTTCTTCATCTTTATTTTCATTCTCTATCCAAATTGAATATAATTAATGTATTTTTTTTTCTTTAGATCTACTGGTAAACCATATGTTCAAATGCCAGGATTGAAAAAATCCCACATAAGGAGCATATTAGGATTACTCTTTAATGAAGCAAGATGTAAATATGAGATCAAAATACAAAGTATCACATACAGAAACACATCTTAGTTAATCTAACACACCTGGCACTTTATGTTTTATGCTATTCTACATATGACCACACTTTCTAACACCCCACACAATGTGAAATACAGACAGAATTATGAACATTTTAGTGCAGACACTGACCAACATAGAATTCTGGGATGTTGAACACTTTTCTTCTCTGTATCATATCCTTTCTTTCCATGTAATATTTAAGAGGATCTGTTCTCCCTCTGGGAGGAATAAATTCAGGGCTCAGGAACCTGTAAGAAAAGCCAAACTTTTAGAAGTATGAAACAAAAGCATTTGCATAAAAAATACGAGACAACTCCAAGTATTTGGCCTTAGAATCACCAGCTGTTGCCTTTTCAGAGATATGAACTGCAGTCTATGAAGTCACCAATTTTATTTCATGGTTTTTGTTATCTAAAAGGAATTTTTGTGGGGTTTTGATGTTTGTTTTGAGATTTTATGTGGCTTTTTTGTTGTTTTCTTGTTCTTTTTAACAGATTTTTTCCCAAACCACTAATACATGTCTCAGAGGAGCTGACTGAAAGAGGACAGTTCAGTTAGTGCTGTCACAACTTAGAAACAGGTTATTTAACTGTTTAATTGTAACTCCCACGACAGAACACTTACTATTTGTTGACTTTATAGTAACAATAATGGAAGAATGTATTTACAGTTTTCGCAAACTGATCTTACAGGACACACCACATAAATGTTAAAGAAGCTTAAATGAACTAGTAAAACTATTTTTCTGCTACAAAAAAATTAAACCATGCTAAAGAATTTCCCCACGGCCTGGACCTCAGTTATCTGACTGCTGAATAAAGTGCGCGTTTCCTGACATGGATTGGCTTGAGCTGAGAACCATTTCCTACAGACATTTGGATGTGCTCACTCTGGTTTGGATGGCAAGACCACCTGGCCTCAGAGTGGATGGATGAAGTTGCACGGATTCATCTTAGAAGTCCTGGGTCTGGCCGGGAGAGAAGTGCCCAACAGAGAGGAGGACAAATGCAAATCTGCCCAACAAACCTTATGGGGGCTGTGGGGGCAGCAGAGGTTCTGGCTGGTGCTGCTGCCCATAGACAGCCCCACAGGCAGCAAACACCACCAAACCTCATGATCTTCAAAGTCAGGTTTTTTGGAGGGGGCAGATAAACAAGACACTACCACCACTCTTCTTCCCAACACAGTGCTGCAGTTTGAACCACAGGGTCATTTAAAGCGGTGCAAATTTGGTTTAAAACCCAGGGAGGCTCTGGATGCCCCAATCCTGAAAGTGTTCACCAACAGGCTGGATGGGAGTTGGACCAACCTGGTCTAGTGGGAGGTGTCCCTGCCCATGGCAGGGGGCTTGGAATGAGATGATCTTTAGTTCTCTTCCAACCAGACCATTCTGTGATTCCATGAAATGGGTTGAGGTGACATCAAAAATACCCAGAATGAGACATCTCATGAAGGCTATGAGACATCAGGTCCATGTCACAACCAGTGATGCATGTGCTCACAACTGACCTTGAGTTCCAAGGCAAAGGCAGACACAGGACCTGTGTTCATGTCACTCCCGGCACGCTTAAAGAGATGCCTTTAACTAGAGATACCTTTAACAGACATAATCTCCCACCTTAACCTCAAATTTACAAAAGTACTTGCTCTTCTACATTTTTTTTCATGTTTCACTGCTTTCAGAAACTCCAGAAACAGTATTTTAAAGTGTTTTGAATGTATTTCAACACAAATGGTCCTTGCTAGAATTTTACAAACTCTTTTTTTTTTTTTTTTTGGTGTAATAATGCTTTGACTCTTTAAGTAAGTGCTCACACAGTGACCAGCCGACCAGCCTGAGCACAGCCCAGGTGAGCAGTGGGACACCCTCACCTCCTCTCCTCCTTCTGCGTCTTCCTGTCAATAATGACGGGCTTCGGAGGCGGCTGGAATTTCGGTGGCTTTCCATCGCTGCTCACTCGATACCCCGATAGAGAAAAACACCCTGTAAAATACAAAACAACGTTTGAAACACCCGTGATTTCAAATTGAACCGCCCCCATCAAAGCAGGACACGGCACCACAGCCCGCCCGCCCGGCCAGAGAGGGCAGGAGCCTCCTGCCCCCTGCTCTGTGGGGCAGGGAGGGCAAGAGGAGGGCGCCGGGCAGGGGGGAGGCTCGGGTGTGCCCGGGGGTGAGG